TGTCTCTGTAGTTTCTAATTCGAGCAATTCAAATACAATCATGAAATTCTGTCAAATGTCTCTAACTTCCGTTAATTTTTTGTCACGTGCCCCTCATTGTATGAAGAATCCAAATTCTTTACTTCGGTTTTTGTTTTGTTTGGTACTACTGGATATGGTGTGAATTATTAGGGCCTGTTCAGTAATGTTTTTAGAGCCCGTTTTTACTTTTGTTAATTTATATATTTTTCATTGTTTATAATAATTTCAGCCTTTAAAAAAAAAATTATACATTTTTCATTGTTTATGTTACCAGACACGTTTTCACTATTTTTGTTTACTAAGACTATATTCTAATTAAGATATCAAACACATTCTCAAATCCTGAAAATGCAAATTCGTTTTTTTTGTTTTCATTCTTTGAAAATATTTTCAGAAAACATTACATGAAGGCCTTAGGCTTTCTCATTAAGTACGTACAATTGTATATTAATTTGCAATGTGAATGAAACCCATCTCAACAAGTACCTTAACAAAAAAAATACTTGTCTTTTTCGGCAAAATTCTCCGAGAAAGGTCTATTTAAAAATTTGTCGGGAAAGAGCAGAATGTGCAGGGAAAGGTTTATCCCAGCGCAGAATTGTCAGGAAAGCTATCCCGTCCAAACTTTGTCGAGACAAATCTCTCTCGACGATAACCTTGTCCGGAAGGAACAAATTTCTCCTAGAAGGATTTATCCTGGCGAAAAGTTGTTGGGAAATGTCCATCCAGTCGAAAATTTAACGAGACATAACTTTCCCGAAGAAATTTGTGGGGAAACATTTTACCCGACGAAACTTTGTTGGGAAAGAACCAAAGTCTCTGGGAAATATCTTTTCCGATGAAAAATGCGCCGACATAGTTTTCATACCTAGTAGTTTCGAGCATTGTATTGGACATAGTGTACCTTTCGACGGGAAAAGGGCTCTATTTGTCGGGATCAATTTTGTTGCGAAAGACATCCTTGTTTTTTGTTTCTAGTGGCTGCCCATCAAATTCCTCCATTGCGAAAGAAAGTTCTTAAAAAAAAAAAATAATAATAACATAATGATAATTAATAATAGTTAATCATGCATGTTATAATGGAACATGTCAAAATGCCTCTATACTTCAACATTGTTTTTGCTTCTTACATAATATATCATAATTCTAACCGAATACACTTTCTCACCACTCTGATATGGCACTTTACAAAGCCCAGATGACTATACGGTTAAATCGGGCTATGAACTTGTAGTGAACCTCCAGCGGAATGGCGAGATTGGGGGAAAAGGCGAAGGAGAGAGGGTGCCTAAACTTTCTTGCTGTACGTGACAACCTTCGTCGTCGGCACATGACAGCGGACAATAAATGTGGGATCTGTGGTAAGGATGGTGTGTCTCAGTTGCATTTGTTTTTTCAAATGCGAGTTTGCATGTGCCTTGTGGTATGCTTGCCCTCTGCAACTGGATACTACTACTATTGTGGTCACCGATTTTGCTTCATGCTGGGCTTATCTTGAGGGAAAATATAAAACAGGTACATGATCTTAGGAGATACGACAGATTTTGGCATGTGGCGAATCTAGAAATGCCATAATGAGGCGATTTTCCAAGGAAATGAGTCCAATCCCTAAGCTGCGGTTGCACTGATGGTGGGACAAGTGGAGGAATATCGTGTGGCAATTCCACTTCAGGCTCCCTTTGTGAATGAGCTGCCGAGACCTCCCGATCTGTGTAAGGTTGCGCAGACCCTGACAAAAACCCAAGCACGGAATGGTCAAAGCAAATTGTGATGGTGCTTGGTATGCAAATAATGCGGGGAGGTTTTGGCTGGGTGATTCGGGACTTTATAGGCTGGATGATGCAAGCGGGAGGTCAATGAGATATGTGTTATGGGTCAGCTCTCATGGCAGAGATGGATGCTATAAGGGCAATTCTGTTTGCTTGTCAACAAAGGGGTTTCTCCCGGGTGGTGGTAGAGTCTGATTCCCAAATTGCCATCATGATGGTGAAGGGCAATGGTTGTGGAGGTAGATAGTATATTCACTTCAACATTCAGGCTGTGATTCGAGAATTCCAAGAAGTAATTTTTATTTTTGCACCTCGCAGTTGCAACAAACCTGCTCATGAGGTTGCAACTTTTGCATGTAGGGTAGGTGTAGAGGTGGTTGCGGTTTGGTAACCGTGAATTTTTTCCCGAACCGTAAACCGACTGACTATTTGCGGTAAGGTGATTTTTGAAACTGTAAACTGATTGCTTTTTGCGGTTTACCGCATTGCGGTAAACAACAAAAATCGGTCGGTTACCATGAATTAACGGTTTAAACCGATTTAAATATTTTGTGCCTAAATTAGACAATTTTAGATCTTTAAGTGTGGTCTTTTTGTGTCATAAAAATTCAATCTTCCACACTTTTAAGCCTAGGTTTGATGCTTCTTTTGAAGCTTTTTGAGTTCAAGCATACTTTAACCAAAAAATATAAATTCACAACCTAAAGAAATAAATTTATAACCACAACTTCTCAAACATATATAAATTTACAACCTAAAGAAATAAATTAACAACCTCAACTTCTCAAGCATTCACAACCTAAAGAAAAATCCAATTCAAAATTAATTAAAGTTACAAACCAAAAGGAGAACTCAAGTGTACGTGGTGGTGAGTGGATTTTATTATAAGAAGAAGCCCTTCTTTATGAGTTGGAGTGGAGGTTGTGTTTCGGGTGTATTGGTTTGTGTTTGGGGGATTAGAGGCATTATGTGTGTTAGAGTGGCTAGACTCGATATATAACACAACACAACACAAAAGCAACAACATAAAAGCATATTAATAATAGATTAAACTCAACCCATCTAACTACTAAAATGCAATTAAAAAAATATATATTTGTGGTTTGCGGTAACCGCGAGTTGTCAAAATCACATACAGCAACCGCAACCACAATTGCAGTTCGGTTTCTAAAACCGCAATTTTCGGTTGGTTTTTAGCTATTGCGGTTCCAATGTTGTATAATGTCGGTTAGTTTTTGCGATTTTTCAGTTTTTCAGTCTAAAATGCCACTCCTAATTAGGTGGTAGTTACTATTGGAATTTTGTACCTCCAGATTGGTTGTTTAATACCTTAGCTGGAGATGCTAATGTTCGTGTTCGTTTTTAATAAAAGTATTTGATTCTTGGGAAAAAAAAAAACTAGTCCCTAGGTCTTCTCTATACTTCATTTTTCATTTTAATGATAGTTATGTTAAAGCATCCACAATAGACTCCCTAAACCACCTCCTTAGATAAAATTTAGGGAGGAAGTGAGAAAATAACCTATAACCATGCTCCTTATCCAACTCCTAAAATAGAGAGACCTCTAGGAGCTTCTAAATTTGAGTAGAAAGAAAGGACTCCTAGTGACTTTCTATAATTAACTAATGCTTTAATTTAATGCTAACTATTTATTATTATTATTTTATATGAAGAGGGAGCATTTATACTAAACCAAAAAAAGAAATAAATCATTTATGATTCCCTCAACTAGGGAGGATGGTTGGAGTTGAAATTTTATAAGGAGCTCCTAAAATAGCTTTTTACTGTTTTTAGTTAAATTTTAACTAAAAAATAAAGAGCATGATTGTGGATGCTCTTATAAGGATTCACTACCAAAAAAACAGTATCTTTCCGGATCATGAGAGGGAAATTGGGCGTTTTGCCGCGTTATTGAAATTCTAATTTGACCCACCTTACAAAATTTTTGGGCTTTGTTGAGAAGGATTTTGCCGGCCCATCTCTCAAAGCCTAGGGACAAATTCACAAACTATCTTGATAGCTTATATAATGAGGGGGTTCAATCCAACCATTCAATCATTAAAAAAGTTTAAGTCCAATATTTTCTCTCTCTTGTTAGATAGTGGGATCGAACCCCTCTCACAATCCCCTCACCCAGAATCCCCTCATTACAGCATTTCCGAATTATCCTTACATGTTTTCCATAACTTAAGGGATATGTTTTCTTCTTTGCCTTTTGAAATATGGCATATACTGTAATTTTCTTTAAAATTACGGGTACGACAATTAGTTACCTAGAGATACAGGGCAGACACTGGAATGCAATTGATTGTAGAGAGGATGTGAACTACATCCATTAGACCTAAAGGAAAATGAACCAACCTATATCTAAAGAGCCCTTATAATTTCATAAACTTGCAAGTGAAGGGATTGTAGAATCAAATAAGTTTTCAGGAAGTGAACCAAAGTTGATTTATGTGTAAAAGACAAAATGCTTTCATGAAATTAGAAAGAAATGTATCCTTCTTTGGGCCCATGTAATCCAAAAAAGAAGGAACGTGGATACATTCTAATTATATCAAATTGCCAACGTAAAAGCAGAAGGCCACTACCTTTATTTTCAATCACCGACAAATCACCTGAGAGAGCAAGTTAGAGCAGGAAGCTGATTTGCTAGTGAGCTTATCCCTTGTAAGATTTTCTGGGTTCAGAAAAATTTCTTGCGTGCATTCTATGTGTCACTCACTCATACTCTAGCTATAGCATATGAAATTATGTTCTTCATTACATGCCAGTTCATATTTTTACTCTCTACGTGTTCTGTTTTCTCTCCAATTCACTGATTCAAACCCACAAGGTTATGTGTATGAAGTATCAAGGTTAACGTAGTAAAGAGTAAACTTTAAGTAGATTCTAGATTTAAAGGAGAGATGATTCGTTTTTCGAAAGTCAGTTTCTTTGAACTTGTAGAGTTTGTGTTGTGACTTCAACTTCTAAGTGAAATTGAGTAGAACATAACTTGGCAGAGAAGATTTAGAAATATTATCAGTTGTTGAACAACATGAATTGCAATTTCATGCTTTTGTGTTCTGTCTTATGCATTACAGAACTGTCCCCTCATTTAACTTCAGTGTCTACTGACTATACTGCCATCATAGATCTGCATAAATATGCTTTCAAAAACATTTTTGCTTGTAATTGTGCAGATTTTCCACCTCACTGAGACACAACATGGGGGAGGGTTTCTGGACCTTATTCTGCAGTAATGAATGCTGTTCTGGCTTTTCAGCCATTATCAATCCAGATTCATGTGTCAACAATATTTTGGTCATTGCAGCTGATATCTTGCTCCTATTAATTTTGTTATGTATCTTTAGAAGATCATCAACAAATATCATTGCACAATCAGAGTCTCACACCTTTTCAACACTCTCAGTCATCTCGGTTACTAGTAACGTTGGTCTGGCTTTGGTCTACTTGGGGTTTGGGATATGGACAATCATTGAGAAAGTAAATGCAGATCAGACTGTTTTACCTCCACATGGATGGCTAGTATTATTTTTTCAAGGGTTCACATGGTTGCTTCTGGGTTTAACCATAAGCCTAAAGAAGCCACAACCTCAACATATCGCGAGAACAAAATCTTGTTCAATTCTTGCTTTCTTGATTGCCATTTTTCTTTGCACTTCATCAATTTGGGAAGCTATTGTAGACGAGGCAGTATCGGTCAAGAATATTTTAAACATTTGTTATTTCCCTGGATCCATCCTTTTGCTCTTTAGTGCATTTCAGGGAAACAATTATGCAAAAGGTGATCCAGAAACCCGTGAAGATGCTTTCTACACAGCTTTGCAAGGCCCAGCATCTGATATGGAAGATGAAATCAGCTTAAATGATAATGTAACTCCTTTTGAAAAAGCAGGGTTATTTAGCACACTGTCATTTTGGTGGTTGAATCCATTAATGAAGAAAGGTAAGCAAAAGATTCTTGAGAATGAAGATATTCCACTTTTGAGACAGGCTGATCGAGCTCGAACATGGTACTTAATATTTATGGAGCAATTGAACAAAAGGAAGGAAGAAGGTTCATCTGCCACCTCTTCTATCTTGTCCATAATATTTTATTGCCAGAGGAGAGCAATTCTTATTTCTGGGTTATACGCACTGATCAAGATTCTCACAACTACAAGCAGTCCACTGTTTCTCATGGCCTTCATTAAGATTGCTGAAGGCAATGAAGCTTTTAAATATGAGGGTTATGCACTGACTCTTGGTCTCTTCCTCGCGAAAATCTTGGAGTCACTATCGGAGAGGCAGTGGTACTTCAAAACTAGACTGATCGGGCTCCAAGTGAGATCGTTTGTGTCAGCAGCAATTTATCAGAAGCAACTGCGACTCTCGAATTCTGCCAAGATGGCTCATTCTCCTGGTGAGATAGTGAATTATGTAACAGTGGATGCTTACAGAATTGGTGAATTTCCATACTGGTTTCATCAGATGTGGACCACAAGCCTTCAACTATGCCTTTCATTACTTATTGTTTACTTCTTCGTGGGGCTGGCAACTATTGCAGCTCTAACTGTACTCTTATTGACTGTGCTGGCAAGCTCCCCACTGGCCAAGTTGCAGCATGAATACCAGACCAAGTTCATGGAAGCACAAGATAGGAGGCTGAAGGCAATTACAGAAGCACTTTCAAATATGAAGATCTTGAAGCTGTACTCTTGGGAGACAAATTTCAAAAATGTCGTAGAAGAATTAAGAACAGAAGAAATTAAATGGATATGTCAAGTATTGACTCAAAAGGGTTATTATATTGTTATGTTCTGGTCATCTCCTATTCTTGCAGCAGCTGTTACTTTTTGGACATGCTACTTCCTTGGATTTACACTGTCTGCTAGTAATGTTTTCCCATTTTTAGCAACTTTGCGTATTGTTCAGGAGCCAATCAGGCTGATCCCAGATGTTTTTGGAGCATATGTTGAAGCAAAGGTTTCACTATCTCGAATTGTGAAGTTCCTTGATGCACCAGAGTTGGAAAATAGACATACAAGGAAAGAGAGCTGTGGCAAAGAGGTTGAGCATTCCATTTTCTTTAGCTCATCCGAAATTTCATGGGATACTAATGCGACAAAGGCCACACTAAGGAACATTAATTTGGTGGTTAAACCAGGAGAAAAAGTAGCAATTTGTGGTGAGGTTGGCTCGGGTAAATCAACCCTTTTAGCTGCAATTCTTGGAGAAGTTCCACGCATCAATGGTATTGTAAGTTATCATTTCACTTGTAAATAAGTTATTATATATGGAATAGCCTTACTCTTCTGATTACCTAAATTTACAGGTTCAAGTATTTGGGAAGATAGCATATGTTTCTCAGTCTGCATGGATCCAGACAGGAACTATACAGGAAAATATTATGTTTGGTTCTGCCATGGATCGTGCTAGATACCAAGAAACACTGGAGAAGTGCTCTTTAGTGGAGGACCTTGAAATTCTTCCATTCCACGATCTCACTCAGATAGGGGAAAGAGGTGTCAATCTAAGTGGTGGTCAGAAGCAGCGCATTCAACTTGCGCGTGCACTTTATCAAAATGCTGATGTCTACCTCTTGGATGACCCATTCAGTGCAGTGGATGCCCATACGGCAACCAGCCTATTCCATGTAAGTCATGAGTTTCCTCTCTAACTAGTTATGCCAATGTCATTTTCCTCCAGTGATAACTAACATGAAAGTTAGCCAGGAATATGTCATGGGAGCTCTTGCAGAGAAGACAGTATTGCTTGTGACACACCAAGTTGATTTCCTTCCTGCTTTAAATTCAATTTTGGTTAGTGAAAAATACTGCTGCTAATTTCTCCCTTGTACTATTATCATTTTCTATATGATTTTGATAGAATATCAGTATCCCTTGTACTTTAAGCAGCTAGCTAAATCTCATATTCAAGCGATCAATTCATGTAATATAAATTTTTGCTTCACAGTTGATGCATTCAGGGAAAATTCTAAGAGCAGCTCCTTACGAAGAGTTGCTGGCTTCTTGTCAAGAGTTCCAAAACCTTGTCAATGCACATGATGACACCGCATATTCCCAGAGGCAAGTTGACTATGCTTCTATTGGAAGACATAAATCATCCAACAAGGAGATTGAGAAAGTAAACACTGAAGTACAGCTAAAAGAGTCTTCCAGAGATCAATTGATTAAGCTAGAAGTGAGAGAAACAGGAGACACTGGTTTCAAGCCATACATTCAGTACTTGAAGCACAGGAAAGGGTTTTGGCACTTCTCTTTTTTAGTATTTTCCTTCTCGGTATTCGTAGCTGGGCAATTAAGTCAATTTTATTGGTTGGCTTTGAAACTTCAGGATTATAGCTTATCCAGAGTCAAACTCTTGGCTGTTTATTCTGTGATCATGTGTATCATGGTATTTGCTTTACTCATGCGATCCTTTTCTGTAGTTGATTTAGGATGTGGGGCATCCACATCCATTTTTTCTGCACTACTAAACTCTCTTTTCCGAGCGCCAATGCTGTTTTATGACTCAACACCCGTGGGAAGGATACTTAGTCGGGTAGGACTTAAGAGCTTCAAAAACAGAAATTAAATGATATTCTTTATAGTAAACTAATGGAACTTACGTTTGGATTGGCTATTTTGTTTAGGTATCTTCTGATATGAATATCATTGACCTTGAAGTAGCTTTCAAGTTGATGACAGCTGTTGCGGGAACTCTGAACACATACAGCATATTTATAGCATTGGTTTTTCAAACTTGGCCAATGGTGTTTCTGATTATACCCACAATTTATATTACTGTACTTCTTCAGGTAGTGACAGCCTTCTTGTTTAGTTCTTTGAATCCCCTCCCGTGAACACATGCACCATTTTTCTGCCTCTTCTCTGATATCCTGGTAGGGACATAGTATGTGAGTGTGTGCGCGCGCGCGCTCGCATGTGTATGTGCGTTTGTGTCTGTGCACGTATATGCCAGGATATAGAGCAGAGATACGGAAATGGGCTTGATTGAAGAACCTTGATTACCACAACACATGCATGCTATGATTTCCTCACTTGTTTTGCCTTTTCTGAACAATGAATCTTCTATTTGATTTTCTTTGGTACAAATAGAAATACTACTTTGCTTCTGCAAAAGAGTTGATGCGAATGAATGGCACAACTATGTCCACACTAGCAAGCCACCTTTCCGAATCTATTGCTGGAGCCATGACAATCAGAGCTTTCGGAGAGGAGGATCAGTTCTTCTCAAAATACTTAGATTCTATTGATATAAATGCTAGTGCTGACTTCAATAGATTTTCAGCCAGTGAGTGGTTGATAGAACGTCTTGAATGGCTATGTGCTATTGTTCTCTCAGCCTCAGCACTTGCCATCACTTTGATTCAGTTTGACGCTTCTTCCTCTGGTTAGTAAGCATTAGCTTCCAGCCTTCCACCATCTTTGCTCCTTATAACTCAACACAATTCAGTTTGTCACCTGTGATATTTTGTCTAACATTTTGCTTAAACTTTTGGCAGGTTTTATTGGGATGACACTGTCATATGGTCTCTCATTAAATGTATTTCTAGTAATTTCTGTCCAATTTCAATGCATGCTAGAAAATTCAATGATTTCTGTAGAAAGAGTAGAGCAATACATGCACATTTCCCATGAGGCTCCAGAAGTAATAGAAGAAAACAGACCTGCCGACAATTGGCCTACTGCTGGTAAAATGGAAATACATGATTTAAAGGTTAGTATGAGAAAGATATACTAGAAGAGTGTAACTCTATGAACAATGGTGCTTGTATATGATATTGAATGAAACTATGCAGGTAAGATATAGGCCAAATGCTCCACTAGTTCTTCGTGGGATAAATTGCATAATTGAAGGAGGGTACAAAATTGGGATTGTTGGCCGGACTGGAAGTGGAAAGACAACTCTTATCAGCGTATTGTTTCGTCTGGTAGAGCCTACAGAGGGAAGGATTATAGTAGATGACTATGACATTTGTAAAATTGGACTTCATGATTTAAGATCACGTTTTGGGATCATCCCACAAGATCCGACACTATTCAATGGGTCTGTCAGATTCAATCTAGACCCCTTATCAGAGCATACTGATCATGAAATATGGGAGGTAAAATTTTTGCTTATTTGTGATTGTTGTATTAGGATATAAACATGTAAGATGATAGAATTCTCTGAATCTTGATATGTTTAGCTATATAATACTCTATAACTTTCTTTTACTAACTTAAACTTGTCCTCTGACCAACATGTCAAAGGTTCTTGAAAAATGTCAGTTACGAGAGACCATTCAAGAAAAAGAAGGCGGCCTGGATTCTTTAGGTAATAAACTGTCTCTAGGAGTGTTTTTCAGTGTCTGTCAAACAAGAACTAACAACCTGGATTACAGTTGTACAAGATGGAACAAACTGGAGCATGGGACAGCGACAACTATTTTGTTTGGGACGCGCTTTGTTGAAGAGGAGCCGGATACTAGTGCTCGATGAAGCCACTGCATCAATGGACAATGCAACAGATTCTGTTCTTCAGAAAACTATAAGAACAGAATTTGCAGACTGCACTGTGATAACGGTGGCTCATAGAATACCAACTGTTATGGACTGCACTAAGGTGCTTGCTATTAGTGATGGTAAGCATTATATCGCAAACTCTTGCACCAAGAATTGTGCTGTCTTAGTCATTTGATGATAGTTGTTAATTTGGCCGCTTTACATTGGCAGGGAAACTGGTAGAGTATGATGAGCCAATGAAGCTAATTAAAAACAAGGGTTCCCTATTTTGCCAGCTTGTCAAGGAATACTGGTCTCGAGCTGCCAATGCCGGTATCTCCGCAGAAGGTTGATTGGGAAACGTATTCAATATATTTGCAATAATTTCTGAGGAAATTTTAGCAAGCAAGGTAGATTGGGATTTGGCTGTCTGTTTTAGTACTGGAGAGAGTAATATGGTTGCTCATTCTCTGGCTCGTCATGCTTTGCATGAGCGCGACGTCTTAATTTGGTTAGAGGAGGGTCCGGAATGGCTTATGCAATGTACCAATGTTGTTTGTGTTTCTTACCTTGATTTGAATAAAGTTTCCTAGTTATTGATAAGGTCCAGTAGCCTATTTCTCACTTCTAATATGGTTTCTTCAAGCCGATTGCCATTCTTATGAATCACGGAAACTATGAAACCTTTAGATTATGAACAGCACAATTCTAATTTCAAAACAACCAGTAACATAATAACAATAATATTGATACATTCCAATGGCCTCAGCTGAAAAGGAAGCATTGAAAGCTTTGGTAACCTCCACATTAAGGTTTCAAGCGCTAGGTGTTTTTCTAGCTCACAGTTTAGAAAGGGAGCATGCTTGTATGTTTTTGGCTTCAAATTCTGAAAGGTCCTCTCAATATGTTGTGTTAATGATTTCCACTTTATCTTTATGAAAGCAGATTTTGAATGACTACTCTTCTGTGGTTGGTTGTGTGGTAGATATCATATTGATTTGTAATAATTAAAACATAGAGTTATTTACACTTCTGAGGTTTTTGGTGTTTTTACAAAACCTCCTGAGATTTTAAAAATTATACGAAAACCAACTGAGGTTTTAATTTGTTTTCACAAAACCTCTTTTAGTTGATTCTACATCCAAAAGAATTCAAGGGGGGTTTTGTGGAAACAATTTAAGACCTAAGGGGGTGTTCGTGTAATTTTTAAAATCTCAGGAGTTTTGTAAAAACACCGAAAACCTCAAGGATGTTAGTGTAAATAACTTTTAAAACATATAATATTGTTACTTCTCAATCATTATTTTTTTTTTGTCTTGGTGTAACATGTGTTAATTCTCATGCCAACCAACCAGACCATATGGTCCATACTTGGAACAAAATGGGCCAGAATAGAAAATCATTGGAGATGTTGAACATGCTTTTTCTTGTAAGTTGCAACACTGAAGAGATCATATATCATTAACCAAAGAAAAATGTTACATATGGCTATGATGTTATGTGAAAGCCAGTGAATAGGTGCATGAGGTTATTTTAGGGTGATTTTCGGAGCATCCTTTATTAAAAGGTCTTTGCAGGATTACTACATGGCTCAAATCTAGCATTCTTCTATAAAAATTAATATTCAAGAGTTATTTGAAAGTAAAAAGTGTAGCTCAAGTGATTAAGAGAATCTATCTTTTTACACGAAGTCTTGTGTTTGATTCCCCTATCCATATTCATTACCCTACATTTAATAGGACACATGAGACTTCCAATCACTGGCGGATCCACGCTAGGGCAAATGTATGCAATTGCTCCCATTCTGTATTATAACGACACAAGAAATTTCCCAAATTTCCTTTGATGTTCTCCTTGAATATTACTGCCATGAGAGGAAGATGTTTGACAAAATGTCTCAAAAAGAGACTTGAGGCTGGGTAAGTAGCCCAGGGCAACTAAGCAAAGTGGTGTGTGGGCTAATTTTAGACAACCAGCCATGTTAATCTACTGTATTACAGCAGGAACGGTCCCACGTTCAGGCTAATTTGGACGGTAGCTTAGGTGGGTTGATTTTTTGTAGATTAAAATAATACCACAACTCACGGACATCCCCATCCCAGTCAATTAAAATCTCATTCACAAGCCTACCCCACAAGTTTTACTAAGAGCAACTCCACCCATTTACCTTTAGCCATGACAAGAGAGGAGCTAGGGCAGCCACTGTTCACATGAATAGTAGTTGCCCTTGCAAATAGTATTTTGTGTTTCCACCCGTTGCCATGGCTAAGGGCAATTACTATTCTTTTCTTTTTTTTCTTTTTTTTTCACAAATTTTTTTACCTAAACAATGAATTTGGATAATATTTTCGGATTAGATTTTTAGGTTTCTACGTGTTAATCTTTATTATAAAATTCATATCTCATAATCAGAAAAAATATTTCGGATAAGATTTTGAAAAAATAAAACTTGAAAGTGAAAAGAATATTAAATAGAAAGTGAATAATAGTTAAAAGAGACGAAAATGTATGAGGAATTGGTGTTAAAAGTAAAGAGTATTGGTTGGTTGGTATTTATAGAAAAAAAATTCATTAATTTTTGGGTATTTTTTAAGAAAAATTTCTAATTTTTTTCATTATTTTATTGCACAAAAATTCGCTGCCGTTAGATTGGAGGAAAAAATCCAATCTGAGAGCCCAGACGATGCCACGTGGATGCTGGCTATGGGCGGCACTGTAGCGCACTGACGTCAGCACGCTGACATCATCCAAAACTTGGGCTCCAAGTCGGGCCAGACTCCCCCGAGGGCCAACCCAA